CTTCTAGGGGACTGTCTAGGGCGGGGGGGAAAAATGGACACATATGTAATACCCTTTGTAATAAAAAATTTAAAAAAAAGAACTATCTTCTCTCAAAGGCAGTTTTGTTTTCTCCCTCTTAGTCTACATGGTCACGACTGCATCTTGGGGCGAGCATGCAAGGAGCTATGGGCACCCATGAAGTAGAGTCGAGAGACCTGAAGCTCCCTCAGGGAAGCTTTGGGTGCTAGTAGCTTAGGCTGTGAGGGACCCAGGTCCTTTCTGCTTCACAAACATTGTTTTCAAACCTGAATTGTGAATAACCTCAGATTTCACACATTATCTTGCTGTTTTATGAGTTTGTTTATTATATGTTTGTATCTTTCTTATCCCAGGCAAAAACACAAGGCACAAACCAATAGGGAAAATGAAGAGTGTTTAATAAAAAGACTGTGTAGAAAGGGTGAAAGGGATGAGACACCTAAAGATTAGTCATAATAGGGAGCTATTCCCCTTGCGCATCCTGAAGTGTAAGAGAAAGATAAGTTGCCAGAACACAGGGAGGGCTGTGGATGGAGCAGTGGTCGTCACTATGTCCAATAGAAAAGGTTCACACACAGAAGCTTTATGCTTAGGTAGAGCAACATCACCATGGCAAACTCACAGCCTGACAGCAGGGAGGCAGGGAGCTACTAGTAAAACATCAATGACCCTCCTCCTGCCCTCCAATCAGCTGTTGGTGTCGCCCTTTTCTGAGAGAAACCAAGGGCCTGAGGGAAAGGGAGCCCAGTGGTGAGACAAAGGGATGTGTCCTCCCAGGATGCAGCAGAGGGTAGAGAAGCTGGAGATGAAATTTGACGTCAAATGAAGAGAATTCATTTTTCTTATAAACCCTTTCATAGTTCCTTTTCCTGGAACTTTTTCCTCTCTCACCGTGATTAGATCAACTTGTTATTACATCTCATTTATTTGATCTGTTGGCACCCCCCTACTGGGTGTCATGTCTTAAAAATAATATCTCTCATCATAAATGCCATAAGGATGGAATGTACATTATTTTAAAAGGTGGTTGCACAAATACAAATATTTTTAAGAATTTAAATTTATGATTTTGGTAGCCCTAGAAAGAAGAGCAAGAGAGCTTACTAGAACTTGACTGGTGATTTCAAGGCATCAGATAACTGTGCTGTTTTAAATCACTGCTCCCCAGCCCCAGAGAGGTGACTTCATGCTCCTGCAGGGCTCCCAGACTCATCTGCATTCCATCCAGAGGAGAAGCGGAGAAGGAAAAGCACAACCTAAAATTGGTTACATCACTTGCGCTTACCTCCCATTGGCTACCACCCGGTTGCATGATGTCATCAAATGGGAATGGAAATTGGGATTAAAATCCATTATCTGGTCTAAAACTCTCAGAAATATTATGTGAGAGAGAAGGAAATGGGTACTTAGACCAACTGGCCATTCTACACCCTGAAGTTTTCTCACGTTCTGAGTTCACATGAAGATTTCACTCAAGTGTTCCATCCACAATCAGGCAGAGAACTGTGGAAAAGCCTCAGGCTGGGCTCCAGGAGGCCAGGGCTGGTATTGGACCTGCTGTTCACCCTGTGATCTCAGGGAAATCCTTTGGCTCTTTCAGCCTCAGTTTCTTCCTGAGTTAAAGGATGATATTATAGCACATGGTCTCTGGGGGACATGTGCTCCATGCTGAGGATACAATAGTGAACAACAGCCAAGAAAAAAAGACAAAGCCCAAACAGGTCTAGTCATCATTATTAAGTTTTGAGTTTAAAAAGGGAGACGAGCCTAGCAGGTTTGACTCAATGGTGAGAGCAGCGCCCACAGACTGAGGCGTAGCGGGTTACATTCTCCTGGGGGAGCCTGCACTGGCTGAACCAGAAAAGAATTGACTGATTGGGTCTGTCCAGAGGGAAGAATTAGCTCCTGGAATCTCTGTTCTGTTCTCAGCTGGATTCCACCCACTTCATAATCTTCCCTTCCTTGTTATTTACCTAATTTGCACAGTCTAACTTAATAAAACACATAAGTGAGTTGTCATTTTAGACTTGTCCCTAAGACTTACTTGATTCTTGCCCCACCATTCCCCTTGTGTACGGGACACACCACCTCGTACTGGGCTACAGGGCGGGGGAAGGGCAAAGACTCTGACAGAAATGTGGATTCAGATCCAGGCTCTTCCACTTGTGCACATGAGAATTGGAGCATGTCATTCACCTCCTTGTGCTTGTCTTTTCCTATGTGCCACATGGGAGTAAGCACACTACTGGCCTCATAGGGCTATTTGGAGGATCAAAAGAGGAAATACCATGTAAGCACTCACCAACTGCTACTCTTTACCTATGTGTGAGTGAATTTATGTTTCTCACCTAAATTCTGGAAGAGCTTCTCTCTTTTCATCCAAAGCCCTTTGTAAAATAGAATTAAGCACTTCTTAACTCCACCACAACCACCACGAGAATTCTCTTACAAAAATGCTTTGATCTGCAAAGAAATCTCAACTCCAAATCACATGTAGGGACGAGTCGCTTTCCTATCACACGTATCATAGGAACCAGTTAATAATGCCCCTTCTGTATTTCTGTCTCAACTCCCACTATTCAAACTCTTGGTTACCTCTCTCTCTCCTTCCCAAAATGGCTTCTTTCTCCTCTAAACTGCAGAGAAATTCAATTCAGTCCTGAATCCTCTCCCACCTGGATAGGAGGTGTCTGGAGTCATAAAAAAATTCTTTCAAACACACAAGAGCTTTGCACAGCATGAATACTTAGAAACAAAATTTTCTTTTCATTACATATGTGCTTTTTGGTGGTGGAATTAAAAGTACTGATTTCTGTTTTACTGGTACATTTAAAATTCTTCATTTAAAAAATTTTTATATTATATTAAATCCAAATTTTCTTCCTCATTGAGCTCCTCATTCATTCATTCATTTGTGGATTAAAATTTTAGTGACAACCCCATTGTGTTTCCACACAGACTTAGGCCCTCGGGACACAACAATGGGAAGAGTAATTACTGTCTACCCTCATAGGCATGACACACTGGGACATTCCTAATGCAAAAGCTCTGGGCATCCTCACTCTGTCCTAACAAGGAGTCTCATTCCCTTCCTGAGCTTAAGTAATAACCTCCTTTCTCCCTCCTGGGTAGACCACTCTCAGTCACTGAGATTGCCCTGGGGCTTCTGACAGCCTGCTGTCAATCAAAGCCACTCTCCCAGAGCACAAGCACTGGGGAACTCAGGACCCTGCTGTCATCCACAGGACCTGGGCAGACTCTTCTCCTCCTGCCTCCAGGGCACATGTCATGGGCTCTATGGTGAGTGGAGAGGTTGGACATAGAGGGTGCGTGTTGCAGTAGAAACAGCCCAGGCTCTAAGATTCAGAGAGAACTGGTTTTGAATTCAGGATCCAGGACTCCAAGACTGTGTGGTTCAGGAAGAACCTTAATCTCTGGAAGCCTCCATTCGCCACACACAGGGTGGCCATGAGGGTCAGTGGTCACAGAGCAGGTGCTCAAGTCTTGTTTTGTTTCCAGGCCCACAACTGAAGTGCTTATGAACATGGATATGACTGTCACAGCCGGGGAGACCAACCTCACACCAATCAATGGAAGTGATCAGGCCTTTCATCAATATTATACAGAGCTCCTCATCCTGCAATTACTGACAGGCATCGTGGCCCTGGTTGGACTGGCAGGCAACGTGGTGGTGCTCTGGCTGCTGGGCTTCCGCATGCGCAGGAACTCCTTCTCTGTCTACATCCTCAACCTGGCGGGAGCCGACTTCCTCTTCCTCTGCTACCGATTCATACACAGTCTAGTTTTAGTTTTCGACTTTGATTTTGTCAATGAAGTAATTAACAGATTTCTCTCCCCTGTGTCAATCTTTGCCTACATCTCAGGCCTGAGCTTTCTCAGCGCCATCAGCACGGAACGCTGCATATCTGTCTTGTGGCCCATCTGGTACCGCTGCCGCCGCCCCAGACACTTGTCCGCCATAATATGTGCCCTGCTCTGGGCCTTGTCCCTGCTGCTGAGCATGCTGGAAGGGAACTACTGTGGCTTCTTTAGTTTGGATGAGCCCAATGTTGGATTTCATGTTTGGTGCCCAATGTTGGATTTCATCTCTGCGGCGTGGCTGATTTTGTTATTTGTGCTTCTCTCTGGCTCTAGTTTGGCCCTGGTGACCAGACTGCTGTGTGGCTCCCATCGGTTGCCGCCCACCAGGCTCTACTTGACCGTCATGATCACGGTGCTGGTCTTCCTCCTCTGTGGCCTGCCCTTCGGCATCTACTGGTTCCTCATAGTCTGGTTTCCAAATGAATTTAATGCCCTCTTTCATGTTTTCCTGATGGTAGTACTTCTGTCCTGTATCAACAGCTGTGCCAACCCCATCGTTTACTTCTTCGTTGGCTCCTTCAGGCAGCGATGGTGGAAGGGGAGACACACCCTGAGGCTGGTTCTCCAGAGGGCTCTGCAGGACACTCCTGAGGTGGATGAACCTGGAGAAAGCCTTCCTGGGGAAACCCTGGCCATGTCGGGAAGCAGTCTGGGGCAGGGATGAGAGCCTCTGTCCTGATAAGTCTGGAGTAACTTTGAGACTCACTGCTGCCCTGCCAGGCTTGGAAAATATCTAGTCTTCTCCCAGACTTAGCCCCAAAATGCTTCAGTGATTGCCCAATCTCTTCAAATAGGTTGTTTTTAATCTGGCTGTTCTAGTTTTTCTCAAATAAAGCATTAGTCCCAACATTACACCTCTCCGTGGTTCTTGACATTACCAATATATTTCTCATGTAATCTTCTGAATTTATTTATTGAAAGTTTTTTCTTTACAATCTTCATTGCAACAGAAAGAATCCCTGTCTGAATCAGACAAATCCAGGTCTGAAGTCCTGGTTCTGCAGCTCTCCACTCCAAGCCTCAGTTCATTGTAAAATGTGGTGAAATCGACAGAACTTAGAAGTCAGAACTTAGAGACAGAACTTAGAGACAGAAGAACTTCGCTCGAGAGAACATGGCAAAAGATACTGGACTGAACCTGACTATAGAAATTGGCAAGAGAACCTGACTAGAACCTGGTGACTGAACCTGGCTGGAGAACCTAAACCGAACCTGGCTGGAGAACCTACTGACAG